CTGGTCCAATAACAACTGAAGCACAACTTCGCGAAAAAAAAATGTAATGCGGCTGAAATAATAAATGCACAACTTCGAGGACCTAGAGTAAGCGGGAACTGGGTTCGTCGTAATGAAGCTTGTGTGGAAAGTGGAGGACGACATTTTGAACACCTTCTTTATATACAAAAAGTGCAATGTGGGTTTTAAAAAGAAAAACAATGTGTGTATCAAAATTATTGTGTTCCCTATTTATAAGGGGCTTTTTTAATACGTTCAATAAACTTTCACACACCAGGTGAAGACAGCTGAGACAGTTAGTGATAAGTCTGGTTTTTTTAATTGTTTCCATTTTACGAGTATATTATCAAATAAAGAAATAGTGCCTAAGAGCCAAAAATAACAAACTCCATCTTTATTTACACTGCGTTCCGTCGTAATTTGCGTCTGGCATTGCCGCGTTGTCAGATTTTATTTTACTTTAAAGCTGTTTTTCTCTAAAAAAATGCCGTTTTGACCCCCATGTTATATGAAACTTTTTGCTTCTTTTAACTCTTTCTATCACCCATTTAAATAATGACTTATCATAACGTTTACACCCTGTAAAAAATCCAAGGATTTTCGGACAGACCGACAGACAGACGCAAAGGACGTGGTTTTTCGTTATGTGCATATCATGTAGCATCCAAAAAGGTAATATTTCATTTTCAAAATTTTTCGCGATACTTAGTGTAGTAAGTAAGTAAAATTAAGCTCTGTTATAGGAAAAAATTCATTAAATGGAAAAAATTGATCATACTTGAAAGAATAGTGTCGACAAATGTCCACATCCGAATTTGATTTGATACACATTTTTATGTCCGTTGTATTTTGAATTTCTTTTAAAACATTTAGCTACAAATTCAATATCGATTTTCAAGTGTGCAAGTTTTGTGGTTTATGCAATTATGTATATATGGCAGTGTTATATCTAGTAATGTGCAGTAATTCAAAATACGACAAGCGAGCACAAACGCCTATAAAACTTAGAAGGCGGACATTTTTGTGATATGTATTATTTCAACTTAATTTCATCAGTGTTGCGCACTGAAATAAGCTGATCCTGGGACAGCGCCTTATTTTACTTTGCATGAGATATTAGGCTTTTGGATGAACATCACGAGAGACCATTCCGTCGGTCCTTTTCCTATTAAGTTGGAAAGTATCGCTGGATTTATGATGAAAATTGTAGTTTTTGAAAGTACGAGCCCCTTCCCACTTCAGTTGGCCCACTTCAAGGTTTGTACCAAAATATGCCTTTATAAACTAAGCATGACGAAACTATTTACTTCTAAAACAATTTATTTTCTCAAAAACATTTTATATACACTCTAGTCGTGAAAAATATACTCGTATATTTGAAATCACTTAGACCTATAACTAATAGAACATCTGAACAAATAAACAATGTGCGAATAAATGCGCGAAGTTAACAAAGCAACAATTGAACGATTACCATCACCTTTATTTTTTGTTACGGCTGCAATTCTTTGGGGCATAGTGTTAAACAAGTTTTGGCAAAAATTTGGTGTAACACAATCCCATATTTCTTGAAGCTTTTGTCTCAGTTCGGTGATTGTACGAGCAGGATGTTGTGGTAGAACCTTTTTCATCTCGTGCCATAAAGTTTCAATAGGTGACAGATCTGGACTGCTAGAAATATTTTATAGCCTTTTTTGAGGTATGACACGCTGCACCATCTTGCTAAAACACACAATATTGGCCGGATGTCAAACATTCTTCCATCACTGGTAAAAGCGATTTTTCTAAAATTGCCAAATATTTGTCTGTATCCACATTTCCATCAATAAAATGAAGTTTTCCTACTGCGTTTGATGACATACTGCCCCCAGACCATACTGCGACTGTCACCAACACAAACTTTGAATCGGGCCTCATGACTCCATTGTATTGCACACCATTGTTGAGGTGTCCATTGTCTATGTTCTTTAGTCCATCTAAACCGATTGTTCTTTTGCAGTGGAGTTAATAGTGGCTTTTCTTTGGCCTATAAACATGTTGTGCAAATTAGGGTTTTTACTTTACTTTTTTGTATAAGAAAACTTACCTTGCAAGTGCTAAATCCCAGTTTGTGAGCCTCTGTATGAGTTGTGGACCTCGAAATTCTCCTTCCAATAGCGTCACTTCACAGGACACTTAATTGTAAATAATTGGCACGCCTGTTTTTCACGATTATTCTTCTTAATGCTCTTCGGTCGGCATTTGTGATATTACTTTTTTTCACATATCGTGGCTTAAAATTAACTGAACCAGTTACGTTATATGTTCTAACAATATTTCTCACACTGTACCGCGATAAGTCTAACAAAGTTGCAATTTCTGAGTTTGATTTTCCAGAATCAAAAAAATTTAATTATCAGTAACCGAATTTTCTCACTAATAACCTTTTCTGTACCCATTTTGAAAACCTTAACTACCCAAAACTATTTTAAACGTATTCTGACAGCTGTGATTAATAAAAGCAATTGTCATGGCTTTTATTTTTCACAGCCATCTATGCATTATATACGTATTTTGCATTGAAATGAAAATAGGTTGATATGCTGTAATTGCAACATGTGTTATTTTTATGGTGCAAATTTGATTAGGGAGTGATAAAGTTGGTGTTTTCTACTATATATTATCAAAATATTCATTTTTAATATTTTAAACCTACTGCTAAACCCCTGCTACATTTTTATTATTTGTGTTTGATAAGAAAAAACTAAGATTTCAATAGTAGGACCAACTGAAGTGGGAAGGGGCTCGTAGGTCTAGTGGCGGCGGAGCTATCGACAAAGTAAAAAAAAATAAAAATCATTTCAACATCGCTTGACGGTTTAGAGCTAAGTTCCTCAAGGTGGGCGATGCCGTCGCCTTGTCGGCTCTAAAGTGGTTCCCAATGGGCGGTAAAGAGCGTATAGGAAATTGGAGGGCGATGAATTGATATGGGGGCGACGCAATGGAATTTTTGCCCCCAACTTTCCAATTGTCACAAAGACATCCGCCCTTAGACTCACTAATGCCAACCTCCACCCCTCGCTCTAAAATTATTTATAGAGGCATTTGTTCTCTGAAGTACTGATGCAGCAGACATCTGGAACTTATCCTGTGGTTTTCGATAATTCTCCATATTTCCCTGGCCAATCTAAACCACATGTGTTGAAAAAATGTTCTTTACTGTAAACTTTCCGGTCTCAGTGGAGTCGGTACAGTGACTTTGACGATATATTATATTCATCTATCTTCCAGGTGACACTTCATTTGCCCTTTTTTGCGTGGTGTCATCTTAAAATTTGGAATGATGGCTTCACGCAATCTCAGCAAGTTACGGGACCTTTCAGACCATTATAGTAACAGACTGTATAGGAATACGAAAATGGAAAGAAGAAAACGAAATGTCACCTGGAAGACAGATAATTAAAATATATTGTCAAAGTCATTGCACTGAAGAAGGTCACCGCTGTGAACAAAACGTTTATAATAAAGATTCTTTCAACGCATGTGGTTTCGATAGGCCAGAGAAATAGGGGGATTATTGCCATTTATTTCACTTCCTAAATAATCGCATTCAATTTACATCCCCAATTTTGAGGTACATATCACTTGCATCTTAGAAATGAAATATATTTTTTTTTTCATTTCAATTCAGTATCCTGATTCATCTGTACATCTTTACGAATTTCTGGAAGCACAGCTGGTACACTTACCTTGATCCCCCTGACCACAACACCACTTCACAATTTTCCACCACACATCCAACTCAAAATCACCCGAACGTCTCTATCAATTAAGCGATCGCGGCCGGCGTGGTGCGGCGGGTTTCCCGTCTAGCGGCCTCAGATCTGGTCGGCTTTTTGGCAACTGTACTTACATCGCGGGCTGTGCTTCCTTGGTCGCTAATTGTCCGGTGAACTTTCCGCGGCGTGCTCTCAGAGAAAGGGTGCTTGCTATGCGATGGTTAGTATAAATAGATCCGACTGGTATACGCAAATATTCAACGAACATCGATCTTATTCAATATGATCGGTAATGTGGAAATGATTTAGACCAAGGACGAACATCGATCTTATTCAATATGATCAGTAATGTGGAAATGATTTAGGACAGGGAACATGCCAAAGTCACATATGGTTCTGGGCAGTTGCAAAGGCAGCAAACTAATCGTCGTCTTAAGACGCGTCCACACAGAAGCAACATGAAGCAACATGACTATCGACTTTTGTCGCACTATGTTTCTTGACATTAAAAATGCTGAAGGAAAGGGAAACTTTACTGTCCACACAAATGAAACTTGTCTATGGAGGTTTCTAGTCAGTGAAACAAATGTCGCAAATATAGAGAAATGAAGTGTCCACACAAAGGAAACTTGTTTCATGTTTTACTTTAGTCAACAGTATCGTCTCTATAGCGTCTGTGTGGTGTGAAAGTTTGAATATTAATTATAAAATAGGGATGTGGGATGAAGACGATGCATTAATAGCTGCAGCAGCTTTCGTTATTTTAAGTGGAAAAAAACGTAAGCGCGAAAGGGGATGTTGGGTACGGCCTTCATTATAGGATATATCTCACACGAGAGGTTTGATCGCTGATGATCAGTTGACTTGTGGTGGTCATCTGAAAAATTTTCTCATAATGTTAAGCACTGACTTTGAGATTCTTCTCAACAAAATAGGACCAATTGTTTCAAAACAAGACACAAATTGGAGGCGCGCTATTTCTGTGAAAGAACATCTGTTGATTACAATAAGATTTTTGGCAACAGGTGATTCCTACCACTCCATGATGTACCTTTTTAAGACATCAAAACAAGAAATATCTCTTATAATACCAGAAGTATGTGATGCCCTTTGTCAAGTACTGGAGGATCAAGTGAAGGTAAATAAATAAAAACAAACTTAACTTTTACACCTTTATTGTAAATTAACATGCATTTGGTATACAAACAACTTATTAACAACAACAAAAATCGTTATTCTTTTTTAATCTAAATTCCGCAATGCTTGCGGAATAATATCGTTTTCAAAATTTCCATCCATTCTATTGTCGTTCTGTTCTATATTTATGGCATTTGGAAGTGATGGTATTTGATAAGGCAACTGGTATGATGGGGGGAAAGAGCTTTCTGACTCTGCACCATGCAAGGAAGGTGAAGTAATGGGTGTGCATACGGAGGAGCGAACATCAGGTAGCGATGCTTGTGGCCTACTTTGAGAATATTGTGGTGGATAGTCGTATTTTCCCATATTAGCTTCAAACAAAATGTTAGAAATCATATGCTCTACTGTGTTTCCGGCATAATCGGTTTTTAGATTTCTAAGTTCATTGCTAACAAGTTCACCGAAAATATGAAAACCACCTCTCTCCATTTTATTATGAGATATTGTTTTCATTATTGCAAACGCTTCCTGTTGCTCATCGTCAGCTTTAGTCTTTTTCATATATTTCATCGGTTTTGCGCTTGATGATTTTGATTTATGTTCCTGTGTTTTTGATGCACTGTAATGAGAAGCCTTGCTGCTTGCCGAAGAAGGGCCTGCGTGTACAGTACTGGTAGTAACTTGTATGGATGTAGGTGAAGAAACTGGTTTTTCCTGGTGTTCATCACTATCTTGAACAATCTCGTTGTATACCCCAGAATTCCTATCCAGCTCTATTTTTTGCGAAGCGTCATCCATGTCACTACCAATTTTATCACAAGAAGAATATGTATTCGTTTCCTGTAAAGAAAAAACAAAACACTTTGAGCAAATGTGTCGGATTATTTGAATTTTATGACCTAATTTTTCTCCTAGCTTTAAAATTTACCAACTATTTGGTATATCATTTTTGTTACCGTTACCAAGAAATGAACAAGAGTGGAAATCTATATCTAACCCAACTAACAATTATCACTCCTATTAGAGTTGCAGGAATGATTATACAGTATTCCGTAAACAGCATTGTATACTGTAAGAACATTGGAAAAACTCTCTTAGAACAGCTACACAAGCGGAATGGGCACCCCTAATAGGACACTTCAGTCATTTAAGAGGTTGTATAAGGGCTGCAGGTAACAGTTATAAAACAAAAGTTTAAGCCTCTTGCAGCCGCTATAGAACATTTGCGTTAGTGCAAGATTCAGTTTTTGTCAAATATACAACTATTCTGTTACGTGATTCTACTTTATTGCAACCAAACTATTTCTTATGTATTGTATAGACGAAGTGAAGAATATATAAATAACACATTACAGTCATATTGTTTACTTACATATCGGCCATTGTGAATTTCATACACAGGTATATGATAAACTTCTACACTATGATATAGGGCTATTGAATTACTTGCGCAGCACATTTTATTGTGATTATCGTGCAAAGTAGTTACGCAATTTCTACGGGCTTCGTATTTGATTCATATTTTGATAATGATCAAAAGTATGTCTAGATTTTTAAGATGGATAACTGAACTTATCTGCATTAAATCTTCCACAAATCCTATATTTAGACACAATTGCACTAATGTTTATCACTTTATATCTGTAATTTCGAACTGAAACATAATTATTTAATATTAAATACAGGAATAAATGTTTGCCCAATATGGCGGGTGGTTGTGTATAATCATGGCATCGTCCATGTTGTCTTTAGTTTATTAGAATATTTTGGTGTTGCCTGCATGTGTTATACAACAATTTGACAAATGTCAGAAATGAAATACCGACAGAGTCGAATGATTTACCTAGAATTTGTACTAGATCTATATCTTCTGTTTGAACAGTTGATAATACCTTTTTAACCAATATCCATGCGTTATTTGTCTTCAAACATTGGTTATGGCATTTTAACTAAAATATGACAGTAGAAAGTTAGGTTATGGTGAAGTTGTATACCAACATATTTACCATATGTACAGCCTTTAACAGTTACTAAACAACAGTTGTATAAGTGCTTCCGTTGGGAGCAATTTGTCGGCTAAAGTAGTAAATTTGCACAGCATAACAACAAGGCTCGGGTTTGTTTTATAAACGTTACCATTTTGACTAACCTGCAAATATGCCGTATAAAATAGTTGCATAAACGTTTATGCAACAGCAAAAAATGTGTCCTATAAGGTGTTGTGTAACTATGCTATAAGAAAATTTTAAACACCTCATTTTAGAGCAAATATGTTGCAGAAAGCAAATTTGCATTCCACACAACATTAAGCCAGCATTTTGGTGTTCAGGCAACAACAATAGAGAGCTTTTATGGCTGAACTGTTCTTTTACCAAAAGCTTATAGCACTACTGCAGTACCTTATGTATTTTTAGGAGACGATGCGTTTCCTTTGACACCCAATATACTAAAACCATACCCTGGGTGCCAAGATAAAGGGTCAGCAAGAAGAATATTCAATTATCGTCTCAGCAGGGTACGCAGAATTTCTGAAAACGTATTTGGAATTTTGTCTGCCAGATTTAGGGAACTACGAAAGCCATTACTCTTGGAACCCGAGAAAGTTAAAAAAATAATAAAGATACTGGCGAACTTATACCTGGTAACTGGACACAGGAGGAGACAGTACGTGTCATCGTTTGCAAAATGTAGGACGTAAATCATCACTAGAAGCTAAAAATGTGGGAGAAGAATTTACGATTTTTTTCCAGACACCACCTGGATCAGTGTGCTGGCAAGAAAAATGTTAATAATCACGCTTTCCAAAAAGGGGAGGTCAAGTTTCGTTTAGAGAAAATTCGCTAGAATCAGTTTGCGATTTATTTTTGTAACCGACTTACTCTAAACGAAACTTGAGTCATATAAAAACCCCGTAAATGACAAAGTTTCGACTTAACTGACTTTGCATTCCTCCTTCCGTACAGGAGTGTACCTTGTTCTTATCCTTCAGGAAGAGCATGTAGTTGTGGTCAAACCACTTAGATACAAAAACGGATGCAGCACCAGATTTTTTGTATTTTCGATATGTCATTCGCTCTCTATAAAACTGCCCGGTTAAATTCTTTATTTTTCGTTTAACTTCCGTAACATCACATTCTACAGCTTCAGCGATGTTTTTCAGAGCATCATATCTTTTATTTGCACATTTGTCATCTGCATTTTTTGGATTCCACAAACATCCCGTATCTTTATATATTTCTAGTAGTAATATTGTTTTATCATTTGTCTAACGGGCCATGTTTATTATTAAAACTATCGATAAGCAACTGATTACTGATGGCAACCGTCCACACCGCAGAAACACGAGACGCAAGTCTCAGCTTGTCGACACCTGTTACTCCAATTTATTTGAAGTTTACCGCTCGGCGAGCGAACCACGCGACACAGGGTCGCATCCCGATATGCGACATTAACAACCAGAAACATTTGTCGACAAAGAGCAGCTTTGTTTCTAGAAACTAGTCGTTGATGACAAATGTTGCTTATTGTTGCTTCTGTGTGGACGCATCTTTAGATTCTATAGGTATACACTAAAGAGAATCTATATATACAGGGTGTATAGTTAGTAGTGGATCAATGGAAGTCAGGTGTTAGAGGGTATCAAAACCATCGGATGAACCCCTATATGTGTGCTCTGAAATTTTATAGTTCAAGAGATATTTGCAATTTTGTGAAATTTCGAAAACAATGAACTTTCAATCGCAATTACAACTAAACCATTAGGTTTAGGGCTGTGATTTCTTCTGAGATGAGCTAAATGGTTAGTTTTAGAAATGTTCATATATATATATATCACTTTTTCACAGAGCTTATTAAAAATCAACGCAATAAATCTTAAATTCATTTTTTTGTGTAAAATCTCTTCCATCCCTCAACTTTGGAGAGCGGTACAAAAAATTGAGGTTGTATTTGGTTATTCATTTTATTGCAAAAACTATTTCAATCCATGTAGAACAAACCCCGAAAATCTCAGCTTGCTACGATGAGTCTATCATGTCACATTCGTTGTTGCGATGCGATAAACGTAAGAAACGCAATAGAATCCTCACCACCTACAAGTACAGAACCGATTGTGTTTAGCCGCTCCTTATGGCGACTTATCGACAAATGTGGAAAATAACCAAATTTCACTAACCTTTAAAGAACATGTTCGAAATGGCCTTCATTATTTTCTATACACAAGCGACACCTTCTAATAAAATTGTCCTTTAGTCTTTTAAACTTTCTGGCGCAGTTGGTTGACATTTGTATATTCAGATGTATAGATTATCCACTTATAAAACCTCTATATAAAAAAACCTAGAGGATTTAAATCGTGTGAGGCCATCGTACGCGTCCACCTCTACCTATCCAACGGCCAGAAAAGGCACTGTCTAAGCAATGCCGTACATCCCGTGCAATGTGTCATGGCGCACCATTGCATTGAAAATATATGCGGCTTCGATCGTCCAAAGGTACATCCTCTAGCAGCTCATGCAAACTGCTTTGTAGAAAAACAAAATATGACTGACCATTCAACCTGGCAGGCAATTCATATGATCTAATTCATATTTTGTTGAGTACTCCATTTTCTAGGGCAGCACTATAATAGTAATGCATTTCTGCATAATCTCACGGAGAATATGACATGATTCTACCCAGATGCCAAGCGTTAGATACAAATTCCGCGCTTGACCATTGCCTGACTTTTTGGACCGAATATTGAACGCTCACGCACCTGAAGTGCCGAGATGGAAGCCCAAGCTCATTAAGCTGATTTGGCTATATGCGTAAAAAATCTGCCATTTTGATTATACAAAATGTTAATACACACAGTATCACTCGCACTGCTAGGACGAATCTAACAGTACCTCATTATGTCAAAATCCATCAAGTCATTTGGACTGTAGCTCATAAAACAGAATTTCTTGTTTACATGTATAGATACCCATCTGCGTCAAACATACAGATTTTTCAAGGTGAGGCACTCATCGTAGCAAGCTGAAATTTTTGGGATTCATTCCACATGGATTGAAATAGTTTTTAGAATAAAATGAATAATGAAATACAAACCTGAATTTTTTTTAACGCACTCCAAAGTTGAGGGATGGAAGAGATTTTTCGCAAAAAAATGAATTTAAGATTTTTTGCGTTGATTTCTAATTAGTTGAAAAGTGACATAAGCATTGCTAAAACTAACCATTTAGCTCATCTCAGGAAAAAAATCATAGCCGTAAACCTAATGATTTAGTTGTAATTGCGATTGAAAGTTCATTATCCCGTTTTTTTTTAAATTTTACAAATATCTCCTGAACTATAAAATTTCGGACCACACATATAGGGGTTCCTTCGATATATTTTGAGGCCCTCTATAACCTGACTTGATCCACTACTATTTTTACACCTTGTATATACAAAAGCTGCACATCATTTGATTACGTTTTTGCGTTTCCAGCAGCGACAGTTCCATAACTGCTTTTTTCATATTTTCGCTCATACGTAAACATACAGTATTTTTATAGAAAATTTATCTTCTTGTACTGTATAATAAAACACTTCCAAAATGGCGGTATGTTAATATACGAATAATAATAATAAATTGCCTTTATTAAGGAGCGAAGTTGAGCATAGTGCTACTCTGCCAATTAACAAAAAAAACTGAAACAAAATACATAAACATTTTATAAATTAAAAATGTAGGTGTATAAAAATTTGATGTATATAAAATATAAGTAAGTGAAGCATATTCAACATTTCAGGTTCTAAAAGTATACATTGTA